ACATTGCATAATTTTGTTTTATGTGGTAACTTCCATGTAGGTGACAATCAGTGAAAATGATCTGTGCTGTGGAAAGGCTCACATTGCAGTGTCAGCAAGATTAGAAAAAGTAAATGGGATGAAAAAAACTTTTGCTTCTATTTTAAGATGACAGGATCACTAGCAAAACAACAAAGGAAGAAAGGGTCCTGTATATCCTGGAGAACAGAAACCTTTACTCCAGCAATTGCTCGCTAGACATCATGAAAGGATACTCACCTTTTCTGGTCAAAATAAATGTGAAAAGCAGTAAGGAAAAAGATCTACCATGAGAAGCCATGAAGAGTTTTATTTACTAAGAAGATACCCTCTGCACACATGCACACAAAATTAGCACAGCAGAAGCACAGCCACTGCCTCGTTCTTGGACGCTGATTGATTTTTAGGTAGGGAGTGTTTGCAAGGTTCAAAGGGAACACGCTAAAAGGAGATTTCTGAAAAAAGCATGTATATCTATTATTGATTGTGATAGCTGTAGGAAGACCTTTTGTGCTACCATGGACTTGAAGTGCTCTTCATATTTTGAAGTTGTGATCCTGAGTAGTCTGAGTAAACTCTTGAAAACTTGGATGAGGAAGACATTTCTTTTAGCTGCTGTTGGGTGGAAATTGGAGAACGGAAGAGTATTTCTCAGGTTTCTTTACAGTTTTCGTTCATACATATACCCATAAACCAAACTATTATATAGAAATGAAAAATTCCTGCAATTAGTGACTGTACTCTCCCAGTGGTACTTGATGCTTGGATGGTGAGTAAGGGCAGGGCCAGGTAACATTTCACCATGCTTCCTCATAGAAGTACCTTACAAATTACCCGTAGCAAATAAAATAATTTCATTTCTTTTGAGAGGTGCCTGCACTGAAATAGCATTATTAGTGCTTTGATGTTTTCCCAACTTGAAGTGTCTTTATAGGAAAGCTGAACATATTTGCTATTGAACATCCTAATGGGATTGCAGGATTTCCTATGCAGTCTCAGTTTACAGATGGGGTCAGGCCTCAGAGCCCCCTTTCAAAGCACAGCCTTAAAATTGTTCCTTCGGGTACCTCTCCAGGAACAGAACATGAACATGGGTCTGTGAAGAGAGGGCCTGTGGCTCCCAGTCAGCTCAGTTATGCTTCACAGCTCAGCCTCTCTGCAGGATGGTGCCCAAGAAGTGAAGCACTTGCCAGTTCAGCTGCTCTCCCCTGCAAACCTCCAGAGCAAACAAGGTCTTAGCTTCCAGAGCAGCAAGATCCCTAACAGCAAGGCCGCAGTGACACATTAGTCAAGAGACAGCGTTAAAAATAACCACTCAGAAGAGATACCTATTGTGGAAATATAATATTGTTTGAGATGCTGGCCTCATACATGTGAAATTTTCTCTTCCACAAAACTAGTAAGGGCCTGCTTTAGCACTGAATCACTACTTATTTAATCAGCTAATTGTGTGCTGTGTTGCAGTATGACTTAAAACTTATGCATGGGTGGGTTGATCCCAGCTGTGGGTTGGGGCTGAATGAAACAAGAGCTGCCATCAAGATCCCAAACAAAAAGCAAAGATGGGACAACAGCAGGAGGAACAAGACCTGGGAAAGGAGTGTGTGGACTGACTGTCCCAGCTTGCTGGCTCTGATAGCTCCCTACTGTCCATCTGTTCTTTCTCCCCACAACTCATCTTCAGCCACGAGTGTTTCCCCCTGCAGACATGCCCTTCAGACAGAGCATCCTGGCTGGGCGGCACAGAGAGCTTGGCTCTCCTTTGCAGATGTAGCTGCTCCTGTCTGTCTATGCGCATCCCACCCCCGGGATATGGCAGCAGTCCCCTTCCCTCTGCTGTCTTCCTGGTGGGCCTGGGGGCTCAGTCGTGTATCCTGCTATGCCCCCCCCCCCCCCCCCCCAAAACAAAATCCCCTGGCTCCGCCCTCACCCTGCTCCCTGCCCTGATCAATGGCTTTTTAACAGAGCCTCCGTTCTCCTACCCTTCCTTTTGTAAATTTAAATCCTGCTCTCCAGTACTGCTGACGTCCTGCTGGCCCACCTCTTGACTCCCCCTCCCTGCTTCAAGTCCACTTCCCTCCAGTATAAAAGGCACATGCCCCCATCAGCTGCCCTGCTTCTGCTTGGAGCAGCGACTGCCTGAGAAGCAGCTTTGGTGCACACAGGTGAGTGCCTTCCCCTCTCTGCTTCAGCCCTTGTCCAAGTTCTTTCTTGCTGAATTTCCTTTTTTTCCTGTTGGACTTTAGCTTACCTAGGTTAACATACACAGCTGTGCCCTGTGCTCAGTAACTTTTGCCCAGTTTTTGTTAGCGAAGCGGCCCGTGCCGAGGCAGGGCGGCTGACCCCGCGGGCAGCGCTGTGCCCCTCAGGGAGATTGCACCGCTGCGGCCGCCCGGCCCTGAAACCAGCCTGCCCCCGGGCCTGCGCTCACCCGGGTCTGAGCCCTCGGGGTGCTTCCAGCCCTGCTTTCCGACAGGAAAGCTTTCCACATGTGCATCGGAGGGGGTGTACACAGCCGCTGATCTCAAGAAAGATGCTGCTTTAGTTCGTGAAGAGTTAATAGCTGTTTGTCTTCCTAGGACACCCATGGTAGGGGTATACTGATGGATCTGCAGCAGAACTTGAGTTTGGTGTGATAAGAGCCCTGTGTGCCCAGAGGGAGAGCCAGGCTGATCTCTGACTCCTTGCGAAGCAGATCCATGGCAAGCTGTGATACTGCTGCTTCACCGTAGCTTCGTTTGTGGCTTTAATTTTCCCCTCTTATGTCGATGAAAGTTGCCAGGCTTCTGTCACAGATGTTGCTTAACCAAAGCTTAAAGACTCTGCTTGGGCACCAAGCAGAAGTCGCAAGTTGATCAAATGACTGTGGCATTGAATTTTGCTGAGCTTCAGGAGCAAAATTTTTCCGGAAACTTTTCATTGTGTCAAGTTTGGTTGCAACTAGTCAGTTTTAAAACTTTTGTGATTATTTTATAGTTGAAAATGGAGGCACACAGCTTGACTGTGTGAGGTCTTGTTCTTCTTCAATTTTCCTTTTGTAAGAAAGCTGCAGGTCTGGACCTGAGAAGATCACAGACCACACGACTCTTGAAAAGTCTGTGCATAGGTAGCCAGGCTTTTTGCTTAGTGACAAGATGGAGCTGGGTGTTAGGAATGCTCAGGGTAAAGTTTGTGACAGTACCTCAGCCTGTTTCTTCCCATATAAACAATTAGGTGGGACAATTAGGTGTAGGAGAAATTAGGGAGGATTAGAGATGCTGAGTGCCCTGATTATTTAGGGTGGCATGTTACTTACTGAGGAGCACTGTGAATGACATGCTTCACAGAAACCCTAGCCAGGACAAGGGTATGAACAAAAGGTTCAATACATATCAGTGCTCTAGAAAGCGGCTGCAGTGGCACAGGACCAGCTGGTGGGGACTGAAGCACAGCAGTGCTTAGGAAAAAATGTGTACTAAAAGCTTTTCCCTGCATTTTTGTCTTTCATCAACAATGAGATCAAGGCAAGCTCTTCTTTCTGTAACTCGGTTCCCTAAAAAACACAAGACACAAAACCAGGAAGCAAGTAACCAGGAAAACTTGTCAGTAGCCCTGTAAACACACCACAGAGATGCCTCAAAACACCTTCTTTTTGTCTCACTGAACCTAAGGTTTTGCTTAAAATGGAGCAACAGGAGAGGTACCCCAGCTGAAACTGAAGGCAGAATTCACCCCAGGTGGGTGAATTCTACATGCTAAGATAATTTAGTCCTGATTGTCATGAGATTGTTATGCTATATTCAAGTCAGAGAAAGTTAATTTGCAGTTCTGAAATCATGAGTTAAAATCACTTTCCTCTCAGCTGCCTGGAAAGCCACTGTCAGTGTGGGAAAAAGCTCTTGAGAAACCTTCACTGAATACTAGGGGTGAAGGAGCTTTTGACTGCATTTTCATGAAAGACACAACCAACTTCTTGATGTGTTTTTGCTGTGTTGCCTGTTTGGTGTGTTTGGGAACATCTTGCATCAAATATTTTCATTCCTGCTGTGCCTTTACTGAAAGCAGGCTAAGATTTTGGCAGGAACTGGGGAAAAAATTCCACCTATACACAAAGAGAAGCTGCTGTGTAGGCACAGCTGAGAGGTTTTCCTACAGTCTCTGTGCCTGTATATCTACATCACTTACACAGTGCTTAAGCAAATAGGCTCCTGCTCTATAGGCACAGGCTCCAGGATGTCAAAGTCAGAGGCAGACCTTGCATGTCACAAGACAGACTGTCCTGGCGTGACAGCTGGGAGAGCTGCCATGAGGAAGCTTGTGCAAAATGCCAGAGACGGTGGTAACCAGAGCCTGGCTCCCTCCCCTTCCTGGATGCAACTTTCCTGGCTCAGCACCTTCTGTTCTGCTCAGCCCATCCTATGGAAGCTAGAAGGGATTTCTCATTCTGTTGCATCTGGGTGCATTTACAGGCTGGGACATCTACCAGTGGAAACCGTAACTAGAAGTTGTAATTTTGCATGCTGGCAAAAAAGGGTGTAATGGCACAAAAGGAGCATTGCCATCCATACTGAAATGCATTTAGTTGTAAAAAGAGTGTGTAAAACATAAACGTTAGACACATTTTACAAGCAGGGAAAAGATGCTGGTGGTAGTGGCTAAAAGATACTTTGGTGGCCAATGCCTGTGGTCATACAGAGGGGCATACAGAATCAGCAGTGAACTCAGGGCCAGAACTTGAGTGTCCTGTGAAGGCTTTCACTGCTGGGAGAGAAAAACTCTCCAGTTCTTACCTCAGTAAATGGCCCACTTCATAGCCTTTGCATTCAAACAGAAATACCCAGGACACCACCAGCTTGAGTGTTCCACAGAACTTAGAGCCATGAAATGGCTCTGATGGGTGGGAACTGTTAAAGTTGACACATTCCTTCACCTTGAGAGCTTTAACTCATATGTGTTCCCCATGTTCACTCTTCTCCTTACAGCCTTCCCACCACTGCTCCGTCATGTGGCATCCAATCTCCTGGACACCACGTGCCCAGTGGTCACCAAACCACTTAAAGCTAGTCACTGTCTATGTCCTGATGCTCTTGGTGTCACTCAGCTTTGCTTCGGGACAGAGCAGGCCATTTAAACATCAGATAGACAACAGAAGTAAGTATGAATCTCACCTGACATGGTGACCCCACACTCTGTGACGCACTGAGGGATCAGGGCTGGGCTGTCAGGCAAAGTTCAATGGCAAATCACGCAGGTGTTTCTGTGGTGTCACCTTGGTGTGAGGCCCTGTGCTTCCATTTGCACTTGTCAGTGCATATATAGAACCTCATGTCCTTCTCACAGCCTTTAATTAGCCAAGGCAAGTAGCATTATTTTTGATAAATATCAGAGAAGACACTAATGTGCAAAGGACAGACAAGAAAATGTAAAGTGGTATATATCAAATATTTAAGCACCAAATTTTCAGCTGTGTTCTGTAGGCCTACATGACTACTTCTATATAATAAAAAGAAAGCAATGTCCCGAAAGCTTAAGTTCACTTTACAGACATCTTCAGTTCTGTCTGGGACTGTGATTTTTTAAAGTCCAAATACAAGTGGTCTCCATTCAGAGATGGTGAAGAACTGAGAGTATACAGGTCAGGGATGATACCTTGTATCTAAAGTTTAAGCTAGTACACAATCCAAAAGATATTTGAGAAAACCACCAAGAAATCTCATCTGCCCCAAGGAGTACAGGCTGATAATGGTAGATGGAGTGGGAGAGAGGGGTTGTGGGAGAGTAAGTTGTGTGTGCTCAGTGCCACACCTCTCCCCATTAAAGAGAATAGAGATGTTGGGAACCTCATCTCTACCTGTGTTTTATGTACACAGGTGAAAGTTTTTTGGGTTTTGTTGAGTAGGAAGGCTGTCAAACATTGTGCTGAAAGACTTAAAAGATATATTTACAGAAAAATTTAAAGGCAAGGTGAATTTTTACCTCTGTTCAAGCATCAAAATGCACAGGGGAAATTCCTCCTGCCTTGACTGAAACTTTCATGTGATGTGGGTGATATATAATGCACTTAAATTGTAATTTATTCCTATTCCTGACAGTTGTCTGTCTTGGGAACAATTTGGGGTTTCCTTAGGGTGGCATAATCTCCAGCGTGTTTTACAATTTCCCTGCTGCTATATCTTTTAATGTATTGTCTTTAATACTTTTTAAATACTCTTTTTAATATAGTCTTTTAATAGAACTATAAACCTTTGCAGACCTGCCCCAAAACTGCACTAGACAACAAAAATCAGTCAGAGCTTTAAAAGAAAAAAACCCTAGTTATCCATGAAAACCACTTCCTAAGTGAACAAGAATTAACTTTTCATGTTTCCCTCTCATGTAGGACCCTCCTCTGCAATCCAGTGGATTTGTTAGCCTGTAGAAATAGTGTACCTGGTACCTACTGCAGAAAATTTGGATGGGCCCTTTGGCTCATGTTAGAAATGCAGGTTGCAGCCCAGATGGATAAAATTAATTTTGCAATGGAATCCTCTTCCTTTGGGCTCTACACATGGAAAGTAACTCTCAAAGGCACCAGTAAGCTGTGTGTCTGGCTGTGGCCTTTCCCGTCTTTTTTTTTTCTCCTGGGCTCCAAGTAAGCTGTCTAATGTCCTCCAGCTGGTCAGAAAACACTGCCTCCGAGTGCAGTGCTACATCCTCACTGAATGCTTTGAATTCCAGGTCCTGAGATTGACCCTTTTTGGTATGTGGGCCGTGGTGTTCGCCCCATCGGTCGCTTTGGGAAGAGGCAGCTGAGAAGCAGCCGTGGCAGCCTGACACCTGTGAGCAGACACCTGGATTTCATCTTGAATGCGTTGTGGGAGCAAAAATCATTGGACACAGAGGACAGTGACTGGTGATCCCTGTTCCCCAAGGTGGTGACCAAACCTCTGTTCTTTGAATTGTGTCCTCCCCTGCACCTCAGACCTACAGCTCTGCTTTTGCCTAGCAATCCCACGCTGCTCTTCTTTCTGCTTCCAGTGCAAGTACCGTCAAAAAGAAACGTGTTCAGGGTGCCGGTAAAAGACAATGCATGGACACCAGCACTGAGTGCCACCACTGCTTATAAAAACATTTCTTCATTGTGCATCCCCATCAATCTCCTGATTCTGTTCACTGCTAGGTTCACTGTTAGGTTTATCCAAAACCCACACAGCTTTTGGGCTGGGATTTAAACTCTGCAGTGTTAAATGTATCATGAAACCTTCCTGTCACATATCAAAGTCAATGGCTATTGATATATAAAAATAAAAAGCAATGGTTGGAAGAAAGAAAAAAGGCTCTTACCAATTTTTAATGTACCTGCATTAATGGCATGAAATGCTGGTTCTCTGTGTGTAGCTTTTCTAGAGATTGTTCACATCCACTCTTAAGAATGTCTCCCTGAAGTACCCACTGGCCCTTCCTAATTCTTCCTGTACTGCTGGAGAGATATATTAATGAACAAAGAGGAGCTCCTATTGAAGATAAGTACTTTCTCCCTGCTGAAGAAAAAAACAAATTGGCTAATTGAACTCGTTGGAGTAGTTTTGTGCCTACTGCATATAGTCATAAACCATAATCCAAAAGGAGCAAGGGTCTGAATAAGCTGATTCCCTTTAAAACAATGTCATTATTTCCAAGTACATTGTCTGAGCAAGCTAAAGTCTCTCTTTGAGGATCACAAGCCATGTACTATCTACTCCATTAGTCCACATCAATAAGGTGCAGCTCAATACCCCTATTTACTCATGTTAATATAACTTTGTTATAATACTTTTATAAGAAGTGTTACTTACAATGTGTTTCATCTTGATTAATAACTATTAGCAGGAATAATAAAGTTTTATCTATGTCTTATATCCAAAAAAGATAGTTTACAATTTAGGTAATTAGTGATGGTTAAATCCAGGGCATGAATCATTCTGCAAAGGACAAAGTTGAATGGACTTCCACTTCTAGTTGTGCTTTGTAAGAATTACTAAAAGTGAATAATGGTTGAATTAACCATTGCAGACATTTTAACCCTTCTTTCTCTTTTTGCAAACGGCCTGTCAGGAAGGGATGGGTTTTTATTATAATAAGGGAGCTACTTCCATTTATAATACAACAAAGCTGCTTACCCAAAGTGTTACTTAAAACACACTAATTTTACTGAATGCTTTCACGTTGGAGAAGATATGCCAGTAATTATTTTGATGCACATTCATTGCAAGGAACTTTGGAAGTGTGAGACCAAGATTATCAGCAGGGTTCTTGCTCAGTTTTTGTAGCAATCCCAGAGAGAGATCAAGAAATTCCACCTGAGAAACTGTGCTTGAAATGGTATTTCAGCCAACAGACTCAATGGTTTGGAGTAGACTCACCAGGAAATGTTCCTAACAGGATTCCTCCCAGCCCTAGAGGAGGAGGAGGAGGTGTGAACCGAGCGTGTGCCCTTGCTCTCGGCAAACCCCAGCACCCCTGTGGAGATGCCCGTGTCCCGGGTGTGGCAGTGCCACATGCGTGGCTGTGGGTTCTGCACGCTTCCAGGCCAAAGTGCACATAAATCCAAACAACAGAGAAGAAAGTTTTGGTTTTCTTTATGAATCAAGTCGTTGAAAAGGCATTCTTTTCATAAATCGCTTTTACTCTTTTATAATTTTTCTCGACAATAATTCTTGGTGAGTATGCAGATAACAACAACAAGGCAAGCTTAATATTCACTCAGACTTAATCAAATAGGTCGTATAGTCTTCATTTTACCCATTAAAATATTTTCATTTATAAAAATTAATCTAAATATAAATATTAACACTGAAGATTGAAATCACCTGATGACAAAATAATTCTTTGTGTGCTATAACATATGCTTTCATGATTTTTTTAAAACAGTAAATTATATCTTTGCACGTATTTGGCACGATAAACATTTGTAAAAATTCAAATGCTTAGAGCAGGTGGGATTTTTTTTTAAGGTTTTTTTTTTTTTTTTTTTTGCAATGCCTACACAGTACACATTTGTCTGTCAAAGAAGACTGAATATTTTAACATTGTAACACGACAATAGTTGCTTTTCATGCCTCTTAAGGAAAACAACCTACTCCAAACTTTGTTGGCTTGTTTAAATCACACTAACAGAACAAAAGCCAGAGAGTTATTCTATTAAAATTAGTCATTTCTGTATTGATATTACATACACAATATTAGTTATTATTTATTAGACGAATATGCAGACCAACCACCATTAATGACATTTCATAACACGCATACCTGCATAAACCAGAACCTGGGAATGTATTGTATACATACACAAGAACAGTCAATGGAGGAGGAGACTGAAAAAACAAAAAAATTACTAGGCATCCTACTCTGTTTAATTTCCTTTACTGGATTGCATATATAAATAAAATCTATTTGTTTTATATATATATTTATATATTAAACAGAGTGGGCCAAATTCTTCCCTCACATCTGTGCAAACCAATTTCAGAGAACTATTATTGTGTGAGAGTAAAAGAAGGCCTAATTTCACCCAGAATGAAGACATTGGGTCAGATCTTGGGCCAATGAAAGATGAAAATTCCTTGAAGGAATGGAGTCACACTTATGTATTGTAAGTGGGAAGATGGTTGTATTTATTCCAAGGGTTCCTCACATGCAGCTGGACATCAGAGTACTGACAAGCTAGATGTCAAATGTGTATGGCAGATTTGCAACTGGCACTGTCTTTCCAATCAAGCCATCCAGCCATTCCTTGTCGTCCCCACTCATCCCCCTAAATCCAGCCTAGTCAGGAAATTTGCCCAGTTTTGCTTGTTATTTGCCCAGCCCCAGACATTTCATGGCCTGGTGTCCCAGGGAACTGCTTTCCTGCTGCATGGCAGGTAACCTGTGGTGCTCTGCTCGTGGGTGTTCACTGGGAGGCCAGGGAACAAAGGAACTCTCCTCCTTCCTGGTACCCACAGCTCTTGGGAGAGCTCACCACTCCTTAATGCCAAGAGGAACCTGCCATCCCATGCCTTCCTTCATAGCGCATTTCACATCAACCCCATCTGCACTTGGGTACCTGCTCTGCAACTGGTGTGGAAGGTAAGGGATTCACTGGCTTATCACCTCCTCTGACTACCTTCTTTGTATTCTTCAGAGCAAAAAACCGCACAAATTGGCAATGTTCTCCCACAAAAGGGTGAGAGGGACACTCTGTAAGCAGCATCCTCCCTCCTGGGCATCTGCCAAAGGGCCTTCTAGTTTGACTCACCTGTTAAGGGTCTCAAGAAATGAAAGAAAGAATATTACTATTCACAATCCAATTCAGAGTGGTCCAGTAGTAGTGGAGTCCATGTGGCACCAGCAAAAGGCCCCAGCTACTCTCTGGTGGCTCCAGACTAGTATAGGAACTGATGTCTGGGCTACATTTGCCTCCTTCTGAGAAACACCAGGGAACTCAGAAAGGAATCTCTTGCAAGCTGCAGCCACCCCACAACCACCAGTCAGTCAGCAGAGATCTCATCCCCAACTCTTTCACCTCTTTTTTCCAATCTTAAAGGTTTGGACACAATTTATTCTGAACTACAGCATGGTTGGCCACCACCAAGTGGACAATGCTGCCAAGAACAAGACATATGAAGGCGTTGCTTTCTTTAACAGTGTTCAGATGTTTCCAGACACTGGGATCCCAACTCAGCAGACGTCTGGTCCACATGTGTGGCCACCAGTTCCTGGTTCAGCATGACACCCCTGCTGCCTAGAGCAATATCCCTAGCTCTGGAGCTGGAGCATTCAATCTGCGAGATGTATTCTCAGAGAACAGAGAAGTCTTCCTCCTCCTACCAACCCTCCCAAGACCTCCACTGACTCCCTGGGAGCAGAGTGAGGTACACAAATTCTCCTCTCCCTCCACGCAGCTGAAAAGCAGCACACACTGCACAGAATTGTTCTTATTGCTCGACAAGACAGATGCCCACATGAATAGTAAGAGGCCAGCAAATATGGATCACAGGTCTGCTTTGGCAGATTAATTGGCCTATAATTATGACTGAGTGTACAAAAACATATTGCAGTTTAAAGACTACATACTTTAGTACAATCGATAGGGAGAAAAAGTGCATCTTAAAATATGGAGCCTTGCTTTTGAAACATATCCTGTCTAGAGTCCTCTGAGAACTTTAAGGCAGAGTTTCCTGTAGCAGACCACAATGCTGAAGACTTGGACAGCTTTCTCAGTGAGGTATCCAAATGAAGCCCTATAACTGAGGCTCTGTGGGTTCTTGAGGGTCCATTTTCAGCTGGACATACACAATGGCTGTTAAGAAAAGGCACTCTAGTGTACAGCCTTAGGCAGTGTGTTATTGGCAGTAGGGAAGAGTAAGTTTAGTACATCACAGCAGATCCTATAGCAGGTTCCTAGAACAGAGAGGGACAGGAAAGAAAAAACATGAGTGAAGAACTAAACAAACCTGCTGAAGAACACGGCCGGTCCTTTCCCTTTGCACCTCCCCATGTATTTCCCACATGTGGCAGACTGCTTTGGGACAGTCAGCTTTTTCACTTATTTCTCTATGGATGCTGTAGAAGAAATGACTGACAGCTCTCCTGGGTGTCCTGAGTGAAGCCTCTTTGTTCAAATCCTGCAGAGCCAATGTGTGACCTGTCTACCCCTAAATTCCACTTAGATAACCTTTGAACGTTTTTCAGCAATTAGTGAAATTCAAGGTGACTCTCACCTGCCAAGTTACAATGCACAGCTGGTTCTGTGAGGGTCTGGTTCATTCTGAAATGCAGGGCATAACTAATTTATTTATTCTTTAAAAAATATGGGTAGCATGTTCCTGGAGACCTGGCAGCCAGGCTACATTATCACAAGCTGACATTCAGGAGCTGCTATTCTATAGTATATAGT